TGTCTTTCCCTCCTAAATATCCAAGTTTACCAGGTCGTTTTGACAATGATCTTTCCTTTATTCCCAACCAAAAAAAAAAAGAAAAAGTGCCTCTTCTTGTCCAATCTTGTGTATCCAAAAGGCCTCTGCAGAGTCAGTGAGTTTCTTGGGCATCTGCTGTAACAGAAACTTCTTTAAAAAGCCCTTATTCTAAAGAAACTGATGACTCTCACAACCACTAACAGGCCCTCTTTTATGTTTTTTCAATTTTCACAGAGTCCTTGAAATTTAGAATGAAATGTGGGGCTGAGCGAACCCAACCTCTGTCTTCAGGAAATCTGTATTCCTTTGTTCTGTTTAACTCATTGAACGATGTTTCAACATCAGGAAAATCTGAATGAAAGATAATTAGACAGAAGAGCTTAGAATTCTGGCTTAGTAGCATCTGCAACAAAGTGGAAGTTTGGAACTTCACTAATATAAAGACTCCTGGTAGCATCTCAAGGCTGAGCAGGCTCTGAAGCTGTCTCCTCATGGGGCCAAGGTGGGGTACCTTTGTGAATATATGTCCTGATTTAAGCTTCATGTTAAATATCCACACCCAAGAGAGATTATCTATCATAGATGCTGTGTGTACCTGAGTAGACAGACACACTCAGCCAGCATCAGCAGGGTCAGTTGTCTTCGTCCAGGCAGTACTGCTATGCTGGGTACCTGGGCAGAGTAGCCAAGAGGGCAGGGGTAGAGACTGTGCCTAGGCCAGCAACAGGAACTACTATTCAAGATGCAAAGACCCCATTACTAACACCAACATCCAAGACCAACACCAAATCCCTGTGAGATCACACCCATCAGCCAAACAATAACTCCTGCCCTTTATTGTATAACTAATCTATAGAATAACCTACTGCAATCGCCAGTCTTATTCAGACACAGATAGATCTTTTGCCCCCATTTCTACCTCCCACCATGCCTCATCCAGCACAAGGACAGAGGCCTTTCAGAGAGTATGAGTCACTCATCAGGAACTCCGAATACAAATAAGGAAGTGAGAAATGTGGCCCCTGAGAATCATGGGTAGCTCACTGCCTCACTACCCAGGACTTCTGGGGGACAGCCACTTCAAGAGATAGTACGTTAGAGGAGGTATTTACCAAGAAGGAAGACACTGTAAGTATGGGCCTTGGAAAGGGGCAGATGTAATTATCAATTTAGACTGGATTCCATCAGCAGCCAAGTCCTCCAAACCTACAGATGTCACTGTGGGAGAGGGGTTTGATGGATGGTGACAAAGGGAAAGGTTGAGTTCCACTTTTGGCCCTGAGAGCCGCCAAGGATTATGGCTAGAGTTCAAGTCCCTCAGTGAAGGACTTGTCACTCACTTCCTGAGAATTCCATTGGCACAGCCTTGACATTGCCTCAGCTATAAAGAGCTATCTTGTGCAAAGTCACACCCTTTCCAGCATGTCACACATCCAATGCCTGATCAGTTTCATGGTTGGATGAATTTCTGGTTAATTTGTGGGTCCTATCTGGCCATCATAGCAACAGAGATCTAAGTAGGCCAGCCAAGATGGCGCTGAGTCTGCATGTCAGCCTGACTGCTCTCTCTTTAGCTTAAAGAAGCTGAAAAGGCAACATTTGTAGGTATTATAACAAAAGTCCTGTTGACTATGCATCTTGCACAATGGATTCCCTCTCAGAGTACACTGTACCCATCTGTTCTCTCCGACAACATTGTAGCAGGCCACTAGCTGGCCTCCCACTTCCCTTCTTGTACCCAGAGTCTAGTCTATACCCAGAAGCCAGAGCTCCGGAGGTTGAGGCAGGAAGACTGAGTTTGAAACCAGTAAAATCATGTCTCAAAAACAAAATGTAAATAATCATGATAAATAATATTGTAATATAAGTAAAAAAAAAAAGATCCTAATTGATACAAAAAAAATCCACGCTGAATAAAACACTTTAAGCAAAGGTCATTTGGATGACTTCTTAGTGAAGGACAAATGAATCTTATCAAACCTCACAGTTTGTTCAACATAAAAAATGAAGCAACCAAATATCTGTAGTTTCTCTGTGGAAGGTTATGAGATAAAAGTGACTATGGATAATGAAGTCTCTGATATTGCAAACCAAGGAAACAGAACATGATGTTTTCCACTAGAATAGCCATGCCAAAAGTAACAAAACTTGTTAGTTTGACTTACTCCTTTGTCAGCTTCCCTACCTATTAGCAGATTGATATTGTCATCAGCTCAATGGACTTTACCTCCTCTTGCAAACATGAATAAGTATTATCACACTCGCCAGCGGACTGGTTCCCTATCTTTTATGACTGCCTCACTCAGGACAAAGGCTAACGCACTGGGGCTCTTTGTGGCCCTAACCTTCTTCCTCTTTTACCTCCTTGCTGTCTCCTGCTTTCTTCTATGAAAAGTCCAATCTCAAATGTCCCTCTGACAAAATCAGGATGGATAAGCAGGGGTGAGAAGGACGTCATGGCAGATCTTCCCAAGAGAGTCACCAGGTCCCTTGTGTGGTCATAGCTTTCTAAATGAGACTAGGAGTGGAGGCAAGGAATAAAAGCAGGGCAAAGGTTTAAAACTCTAGGACAACTCATTCATGGGTTATGAAATCACTTAAGGGTTCACCAGTAAACCACAACTTAGTACAGTACTGCATTCTTTTTTTTAGAAAAGAATATGAAACAGAATTATACCATATATAATAACCATGAGGATTATTATGTAACTCTTTAAGTCCTTCTATGCATGGAATAACCTAATTCTAACTGTGACTCATGGTTTTTTAAAAACTGGAAAGCCATCCATATAGTAATTAAGGGTTTGTCTGCTATAGTCAAATTGGTTAAGTTTGAATCTTGAACATGTATGTTACTTTATGTGAGATATTGTTGACTGTCCTTATGTCTCTGAATCTCTGTTTCTCTGTATGTAAAATGGACTAGTAACAGTACCCACTGCAAGGAGAGGTTTATGAAAAGTCCATGAATAGATACACATAACATGGAAACAGTGCTAGGCACATACTAAACTCAATAGATAGTATCTATTATATTGTTGTCATTAACAGCAGCACCTTCATATCATGTACACAAAATGTTTGATGCAGTTCCTGAAACAAGGAGGACTCGTAGTTGTTTATCTCTGGGGAAGAGACTTCTGATGTTTCCCACCTTTGCTTTCTAGCACATGGAACAGCAATATTTCCCATCTCCTTGCCAGATAGGCAGAGGCTAATGTCTAGGTCTGGCAATCAATGACAGAGGAGAGCAATGGGTAACCCGGCTAGACTTGAGCAGTTGATTATTTTGGATCCTTCAGTGCTATTCTCCTTGGACAAATCCTGAAAGTTTCAGTTTGAGGCTGCAATGACACAGTGAGTTGCAACCTCCATAAACTGGGTCTTGAGTGATTATGTGAAGCTGAGCCTCCTGCCCAACTCATCTTTGCCAGTCTGGGTTGGGTGAATTACAGGGACTTTGATTTGTTTATAGATGTTTATGGTTATTTGTTTATTGCAGTTTGCTATGTGTAATATCTGTAGTATAATTTACACTACAAAAGGAATGTAACCTTTTAAAGTACACAGTGACGATTAGAGTTGTGCCATCTCAGTCATCTCAGTCTTCCTAGTGCTGATTTAAGACCACCACCACCTTCATGACATAACATTAGTCCTTTAGACTCCAATCAGAGTGCTCAGCTGGAAACGCAAACTTCATATCAGTGAGGAAGAGTAGGGAACTATCTGCTGTTCTTCACGGAACCAAGTTCCCTGCCTTAGGCTCACATTCAGATTCTACTAGTTAGTGACAAATAGCTTTAGAATTTCCCTCTACTGATAGCTTTTTTTTTTTTTTTTTTAACAAAAACCCAATGGAAAAATATCTAGGCTATTCTCTCCTGTGTAAATTTTTCCCCAGAGGGGGACACTTTTTGAAGAAGGCACCAAATGGAAAATCACCAGAATGGCATTTAAAGACATCTAGTTCCTGACAGATTGCATTTTACTTGCATAACTCCCAGAAAGATTAGAGGGTGATGGTGCAGAAAGAGTAGGTTGAAGGTGAAGCAGAGCACCATGGGTTACCTTGTTGGAAATATACCAAATTATCTTAAAGGTTCTTGGAGCTACTTTCCTTTGGTTATGGGGGGTTGGGGGTGGAAATGTGTCTTTTTACCTGCTCAATAGAGTCGAACAATTTATCACTTAGTACCTCCTAATTTGGGATACTTGAGGCTGCAATATTAGAATGGAGTTTTCAATCTGGATTTCTGCCTATTTGCTTAGTCTCCATCTAGAGAGTTCGGCTAAGTTATTGTACTGGATGAATACTGCCACTTGAGTAGTATATTCTGATTCAGTCCTATTGTACTGGATACTGCCACTTGAGTAGTGTGTTCTGATTCGGTCCTACTGGAAGAAAAGTATTCTGAAAGAAAAGTATTGCTTTCTGTCAAGACCTCTGTGCGTCTAGATCAAGCCACAACTTCTAAAGTTGCTGGCTTTGGGACAGCAAGATTTGTAAACCCACACCGTGAGAGCACACACCGACAGATACCTCTAGAAGGCTGCGGGCAGGCTAGATGGATCTACGTTTGGGGAAAGACGTTTGTAAAGCGATCGCATGATTTCCCCGCTCTGTTTGTGAAATCCTCTCCTCTCCCCCTCCCCCAAAAGCATCATACTGGACTGATAGACACACACATTCATCTGGGTACTTAAATGAAATCCAAACTCCTTTCCAGGGTGTCTGTTGCTAGGATGCCCGTTATTGAAAAAGTTTCTACAGGCAGCGCAACCGCCCGGCCGCCACGTGGGCCGTGGATAAACCGCTCCGAAATTCCTCGCCTCTAGGACCTGGCGGGAGCGGCGCGCCGACCCCTCCACCAGCGGAGCGGCCACAGCCAATCAGGAGGCGCCTCTCGTAGCCGCGCGCCAATCACCGCCTCCCTTTCTCCAGACCCCTCGGGTTATTTAAAGGTGCGCCGCCAGCCAGGCTGTGGACCAGTTGAGTGAGCGACGCGGGTGGCAACCATGGTGACCTACGTCGAGCTCTACACCGGCGCCAAGATGCCCCTCGTGGGCCTGGGCACCTGGAAGGTAGGTTCCCCGAGCGGTGCTGCCTCCACTCATCCTTTCGGGGCTCCTCTGGGTGGGGCTCGGCCCGGAGTGACCCCGAGCGGCCCGCGCGGGGCCTGTCTGCGGCCCGGGCTCCCGGATGGCGGGGCCTCGTGGGTCCCGGCGGTCGGCGGGGCGGGGCGGGGCCGCGATCCGGGCGCCCGAGGACGAACTGCCCCGCCGAGCCCGGCGCTGCGGGCGGCTCCGGGGCGTGGGTTGGGCGGGGAGCAGCCCGGGGGCGGCTGCCCCGCGCGATGCCCCTGGGAGCGGGGTGTCCCCGGGCTCCCCGGGGGACCTCGGGGGCCGGCGGGGAGGGTGTGCGGGGTGCGGAGTGGAGGTCCAGCCCCGCTCCTCTCGGGCGCCGGCTCTCCCGGGCGGGCGCGCTCCCAGGACGCGCTGTCAGCCCTCAGGTGGCAGATAATTACCTGAGCTGACTCGGGGTCTGCGGAGCCAGCGGAAGGCCCGGCGGGGCGAGCTCCGTGGGGACGCCGGGCCCGCACCGTGACGGGAGGGAGTGGGGGGGGCGCCCGTGGATCCGGCCGCAGGGGAGGGGAGGGGAGGGGGGAGGAGCGGAGGGGAGGGGGCGCCCGTGGATCCGGCCGCAGGGGAGGGGAGGGGAGGGGGGGAGGAGCGGAGGGGAGGGGGCGCCCGTGGATCCGGCCGCAGGGGAGAGAGGGGAGGGGAGGGGGGGCGGAGGGGAGGGGGCGCCCGCGGATCCGGCCGCAGGGGAGCGGAGGGGAGGGGGCGCCCGTGGATCCAGCCGCAGGGGAGCGGAGGGGAGGGGGCGCCCGCGGATCCGGCCGCAGGGGAGCGGAGGGGAGGGGGCGCCCGCGGATCCGGCCGCAGGGGAGCGGAGGGGAGGGGGCGCCCGCGGATCCGGCCGCAGGGGAGCGGAGGGGAGGGGGCGCCCGTGGATCCAGCCGCAGGGGAGAGGAGGTAGCGTGGCGTAGCGTGGGGGGAGAGGAAATGGTGGCTGCCCGCTCAGACGCCGGCCAGCCAGCCCGAACCCGGCGTCTGTAAACCACGTGCGACGCAGCGCGCAGCCCCGGGACGGCCGGCGTCGCAGCTCTGAGCCGAGCTGAGGGGAACCCGGTGGTTTCTGCTCGGCTCAGACCTGCAGCTGAAATCGACTAAGGCGAACAAGGAAAGAGGATGTTATACAGTTGCCTCTCAGGAAAAGTGCTTCTTGGCCCAAATGATCAGAGCACATCATCTGTGTTTCAGGCCCCGTGGTGACTCTGAGGATGCGGGATATCACGTTAAATTATATCTGTTGGCATGATGTGCAAGATGCTTATCCTGGCGATAGCAAATATAGCTGTGCCTGGATGCAGCACACAGTAATCCCTGACCTTCTAATCCTTTCATTCTGTTTCATTGAAAAAAAAAGAAAAGAAAAAATGGGGTCAAAATCTTAGAAGGGTCCTGACTTCCTTTAGAAGTCAGACTGGGCAGGAAGCTGGAAGTAGAGCTGTTGCTCAAGTGGCAGAGCACCAACCGTAAGGAAGAAAGCTAACAGTGCCCAGGTTCTGAGTTCAAGACCCACCTCCCAATTTTATTTTATTTTATTTTTGTGGGTGATGCGGTTTGAACGCAGCCTAGGCGCTGCCCCTCAGCTCTTCAGCTTAAGGCTAGCACTCTACCACTTGAACCAGAGCATCACTTCCAGTTTTCTGATGGTTAATTGGAGATAAGAGTCTCATGGACTTTCCTGCAGGGGCTGGCTTTAAACCTTGATCCTCAGATCTCAGCCTCCTGAGTAGCTAGATTACAGGCATGAGCCACCAGTGCCCAACCCCCAAAAAATTTTTAGAAGGTAATTTCATGATCAAGCCTTTGAACATAATTGCTCAAGAGGAAACAAGGAGACAACACTTAAAAGAGAGATTAGGTCACTTGTTTGATTTTTTTTGAGCATGCAACAGCTCCCAAAGAATGGTGTCTTTGTTTAAGATCACATAAAATCTGTACAGTTAGCTCATTAATTCTGGCTAGGAGGAATACTAGGAGGAGACTGAAGGTCTTCACTGTCACTTCCACAGTGCCTGGCAGATATGAGTATACAACTGTTAAATGCTGGATTACTATAAAGGAATAAAACGAAACAACTTTAGAGATCATCTGTGGACACGTGTTTCTGGGGATGAAGTGAGATCAGTAAAAAATTGCGTGGAAGATGGGAAGTGAGTAGAAGTGAGACTGACGGTGCAGATGTGGACTGGAGTATATATACTTCTCATGCTTTTTTCTCTTTTCGGCTGGTGGCACTGGGTTTGAACTCATGGCCTCCCACTTGCTAGGTAGGCGTTGTAACACTTGAGCCACACCTCCAGCTGTTCTTTATTGTTTTCAGAAGTAAGCCTTAGACCTTCATCATTCTATCTCTGCTTCCTATGTGATCTGCATGGACAACCTAGCAGCATGTCTGTTGATATGGAATCTGGTCAACTTTGTGCCCAGGCTGCCCCTCAGCCCCCAGGCTTCCTGATCTGCACCTTCTGGGTAGCTGTAATTACCGGTATGGGCCTCCACATTAAAATATTTCAATGGCTTGATACTTTCCCCTGCATGGGCGTGTGTATTCCCTCACAGAGAGTCAACAAAAGGTGCGGTCACTTGCTTGTTAGTGTGACGACAGCAGGAGACTGCAGGTGGGTGCAGATCCTCGCTCTCAAGAATCTGTCTCTGTCTCAAGTGGTTCTAGGCAGACTGGCAGGGGGCTCTGGTAGTGTTCCATTGAAGGTCTCCTCAGAGGTGAGAATTTCAGGCAAGTGGGAGGCACTCATTCCAGAACCAGAGTGACTAGATACGGTTTCTTCCAGGCCGGCTGGCCTTCCCCACTGGAAAGTAACTAAGTACTAGGCGGCCTTTAAGACAGAGCTGACCTCTGGTGCAAGCCAGTGTCCCATCATGGATATTGTTTTAGGCCTAATGGAAAAGCCACTGTGTGTGACTCACACAGAGGCTAAGAGCATAGTGTGTTCCCCATTCTTGCCCCCACTGCTGCTCCCCTTCTCACGTAGGAGCCTTTTAAGACCTTTTATCCCTAATTGCCCCCCCCATTTTAATATCACAGGTATTAGCCTACAGCTGTTTATTAATATCCTGTGGCCTTTTAGAAGGCCAAAATTTATGCTGTAAGCGCCTTTTATCTTTTCCAAGTCAAAATTTTGCCTTTGGCTAGAACAGGAGAGGTAGAGCCCTCCCTTCAAGAATGGAAGAGGTAGAAGAAATGTGCCAAGAAAGACCTCCTGCCCCTTTCCCCAAGTGGAACAAGCTTGGAGTGGCAGCCTTAGATGCTGGCATGGGGAGAGGAATTACAAAGGATCTTGGTTTATTGGTCAGCTACATGGTTTGTCTCTGTTCTTCTTTTCTCTTTCCAGATCAAAGATACCCAAGTAAGTTCTACCTGTTAAGAACCAATCCTCCTGGGCTGGGAAGGTGGCTCAGTGGTAGAGCGCTTGCCTTGCATGCCTGAGGCCCTGGGTTCAATTCCTCAGTACCACATAAGCAAAAAGAAAAAAGCCAGAAGTGGCGCTGTGGCTCAAGTGGTAGAGTGCTAGCTTTGAGCTGAAGAGCTGCGGGACAGCGCCCAGGCCCAGAGTTCAGGCCCCACGACCAGACCCCCCCCCCCCCAAAAAAAAAAAAGAACCAATACTCCTCTTGCCCATCTCAGCTAAGTAGACAAACACAGCCCCATCTCATAAATCAGGACAGATTTGTCATAGTAAGACACAATCACCTGGGATTGCTGTTGCCGTTAAGCTGTGAAAACCAAGTTAGGTTACATCAGACAATCCTAACTATTCAAGAGACTGAGATCTGAGGATTGTTGAGCCAGACTGGTACAGACAAGTTCATGAGACTCTTACCTCCAATTAACCATTAAAAAGCCAGAAATAGAGGTGTGGCTGAAGTGGTAGACCACCAGAGTTTTGAGCAAAAATGCCAAACGAGAGCTCAAGGCCTTGAGTTCAAACCCCAGTCCCAACACACACACATACAGAGAGAGAGAGAGTCCCCATCATATGGATCGTGCAGGAAATGTAATAAAGGCCTGCGTTTTCCCTAATGCGTGTTCTGTCAGGGTCGTGGGAGCGTGGCATATGCCAGCTGTTTACCCTGCGCTGCCAGATTGTGCTGTGTAACAGTCAGGAAGCAGCTGCTTCTCCATGACCTCACATGACCTTTTCTATCCTTGTCTTTCTACAGAAGCCTGTCACGGACTTTGTCCTTCTGGTTTCTTAAATATTGCCTGATAACCTTGATTCATCTGAACTCTGGTTCTGAGGAAAAGGAAAACCAAGTTTATCTTCAAAAACAAGGCGGAGGGCAGGCTGTGGGGGTTCAGTAACACTCCCCCGCCCCACGACAGGCTGCCTTCATGTTTCAGGATTCAGGGTTCTTGTGAAGTCACAAGATTCGGGCTCTTGAAGTCTGTTTTATCTAGCAGCTACAGGCCCGCATTCTCCCAAATAAAGGATTCCAACAAAATGAGGAGACAGTATTTTTCAGGTCAACCTTAGACCCAAAGATAGGTCTCAATGCCTGGCTTGGGGTGTGTTCCTGCCCCTGCTTGAGTTGGTAAAGCAGGTGTTTGGCTAGGCCAGGCCTGGACAATGGATCTCTTGCTCTGCCTAGGACTAGGGTCTGCTAGTACTAGACAGACCCACCATGGGTAAGCAAAGTACGTCTCAGAAAAGTCGCCCTGTACCTGGAGAAAGGTCAGCTCAGGTGGAGCAGATGGTTCTCCACCCAGTCCACTGTTTTCTTCTTGCTCTCACTGCCCACATCAGCCGTGGCCATGTCTAGGATGCCCCTAGAGAGAGGATTCTTCTCTTGGGATACACCAAGACTCTTCCCTATGCTGTTCTCTCAGCCATTAAGCATGAGGAGGCTGCTGGGTGCTCAGATTCTCCCAGGGAGAGGGGAGGTTGCCTGATGGTCCGGCAGCCTCGTGGTGACCCATTCCTGAGGGGCACATGACTGTCCACGCAGGTCTCTTCCCTTGGCTGCTGAAGGGCACTAGTCACAGACCTACAAGGGGCCCATGTTGTTCCCCCAGGCTGTTCACAAAAGCTGCTGTCAGGACAGATGTGGGCAGCTGCTGGGAGCCCTGGGGAGTTTTCCTGTTCGGTTGTTTCTACCCCAGCTCTTCAGAGGAATGTGCTCTGTTCACACCACAGCTCATTGCATGCATTTTTCTTGTTCAGCCTTCTGATCTGAGCAGGAGTGGTGAGTTGGAGCAGGTATCTGTGCAGTCTCTGGGGGTGCTGGTGAGATGAGGGACCGATTGGGCCCTTTCTCCTCCTTACCAACCAGGCCTCCCACACCTGTGCCCGTTTCTCAGTTGGTGATTTCCTATGGTTTCTCCCTTCCCTCTGCTTTCCACTCGTTTGTGTCTGAAGGGCTCTCTCCCCATCCCCACCATCTAAAGTAGGTTCTCATTCAATCAGAATTCACTCAGGGGCTTCCAAATCAGGGTCAGAAATGGACACTGTGAAAGCTCACCAATCACAATATCAGAATCCATACATTAAAAAGGAAAGCAAAGGGCGGGCATTCTGCCCTGAATGGAATATGAACCCAGTGGGAATTGAGTTATAGGTATATCTGCTTTTAAACTATTTTGAATTCTTTAAAGGAAATAGTTCCCATTATTACAAGGTCTGGCTAGACAGCCCAGCCTGGCCTAGATCTCCTCCATGATCTCCCTGCCTCCACCTCTGGAGTGCTGGGGTTAATAGCATGTGCCAGGCTTCTTTTATTTATTTAGTATTTTGTATTTTTTTGTAATAGTAATTCTTATTCACTGTGGCAAAACTTACTAGCAACAAAATAGCTTAATTATAAATGCCCAGCTTAGTGTTTCTTTGCCAAATGATATCACCAATATAACTGCCACTTGGTAAATATATGGAATATTGTGTTCTGGAAAATTCCCACCTTCTCTTTTCCATTGCCAGGCTTCTTTTAAAAACACAACTTTGCCACATGATCTGTGCTGCTGGTACATGGCTTTCAGATTCTCCTAAGTAATGTGTCTTTTCACCAATGCGACTTTATAACTATGCCAGGCCACAGGCTCCTCGGCTGTATTTCCCCCTTGGCTATGCGCAGGCTCTGGCCTCTTACTTAACATCATGGTTTCTATTCCTTCTATTCGCAGTCATCTCCAGGTCAAGTGACCGAAGCTGTGAAGACAGCAATTGACCTTGGCTACCGCCATATCGATTGTGCCTACGTGTACCAGAACGAGAAGGAGGTGGGGGTTGCACTCCAGGAGAAGCTCAAGCAGAAGGTGGTGAAGCGCCAGGAGCTCTTCATCGTCAGCAAGGTGAGGTACTGCTCTGCGGGGAGGCTGGGCACATGCCCACCCGCTCACCCCTCCCCCCCGCCCACTCCCCTATTAGGCTTACTCAGTGCTAGCTCAGCTTAGGGCCAGGGCCCCACTCTTACAGGAGTGCAGTTATCACTGGACATAGGACTCCTGCAGGTCCAGTTACACCAGCCAGCAGGGAGCCCCGTCGCTTGTCTACCTGAGTCTCCTTTGGATAGTCATCTTTGTGGAACTGTGGGTTAGAGCCTGGTGCCGATGAGGCTGAGCCTGCTGATTGGCTTTCCCTTCCAAGGTAGTTATTTCAGAGGCAGAACTGGCCCCCATCTGCAGATTGGACCTCCACTGCTGGCCATTGGTTTTGAACCGAATCCTCTTGGTGCACAAAGGGCCCTTGGTGGGCAGATTTGGGATCTCCTAAGAGAACAGCCTGATGGGAAAATAGCCCCAAAACTCTGGTTTAGTGCCCAGGGCTGGCTGGCTGGCTTGTCCATCCTGTGACCCCTTCTGTGGCGTTCTTGTAAGCTTTCCTTGACCCGAACGTCCTGTCTTCCCTGGGAAAGCCGAAGCCAGTGTGAACTGGAAACTCGCTCCACCACTCATAGCATCATCAGGAGATGGCTGGGCTTGGGGAGAGGAGAGTGAGTGCTCTGTCCAGGAGCTGTCCTGCTCCAAGCCAGGCAGTGGTTACAGCAGTGGTAAGATGTGCTCTTGCTGGCTACAGCTGTGGTGCACCTTCCATAACAAGAACATGGTGAAGGGAGCCTGCCAGAAGACACTCAGTGATCTGAAGCTGGACTACCTGGACCTCTATCTCATTCACTGGCCCACCGGCTTCAAGGTAAGGGTCACAACGTCAGACCACATCCCTGAGAATGCAGGGCCGGCCTTGACCTCCCCTGCGAGGATGTGAGTCGTGAGAGACGTCGCCTGCCCCTCTGGCCGGGAGTGTAGCCCACAGACCAGTGCAGTGGCGACACCCAGCCTGCGTTAGCACCACTCAGCCCCCACCCAGGACATCTGATTCTCAGCCACAGGTGACCAAGGTGCGCGTGTCAGAAATGGGAGAGCCGTGCACTTCTTACTTGGAGGTTTAAATCATTTAGCACTGACAATGATTACGGCTGCCCTGCACAGGCCATGAAATGCACCCACCTCCCACCCCACCTCACGCATGCATGCACAGACAACCCTCTACACGCATATGCTTGTACAGGCATTATACGCATTCCCTGTTACGTTTCTAAACACAACGACTCCAGGTCATTGTGTGTTTTAGCTTACTAGTCCCTGGCTCTGTTGTCTGCAAGGTCAGCCAGGCTAAGAGAATGTGGGTTTTCTTTCTCCTATAGCTCTGTTTCAGGCCATTCAGGTCTACTGGGGCCTAAAGGATGTGATTTTTGCCCTTTGCTTTTTCTGAAAAGCTGGTGAGAGTCATTATTTGGGCATTATTACAAGTCAGTGAACCAGCCAGAACTTAGGCCCCATGAGTCCAACCTTGAGTCTTCCACCTTTCTACAAACTCTGGCTGCTAATTATAATTGTCCTAGTGATCAACAGATGTCCACATCTCCATCTGACTGGAGCAACACCCAGGGCCATCGGGCCCATCTGCCTGCTTCCTTGTTGCCGGCCAGGCGTGCCCTTTCCCTTCCACTGTCTTAGCCATCGTTGCAAGATAAGAATGGTTTTTTTAGACAGAGCTCCCCAGCAGGTTGGTGAAGGGCTGTTACTGTCTTGTGTGTTTTCTATTATAACAATAGCATGGGGATGACTATTTCCCACTGGATGCATCAGGCAACGTGATTCCCAGCGACACAGATTTTGTGGACACCTGGACGGTAAGATGGTCCTCTCTTGGACCTTACCCTTCATGGCTGGGAATGGTGAAGTGTGGGTGATCAGCTCTGCTGCCTTTTCCACTGTGCATTCCGTGGAAGCCAGCCTTGGCTTTCATCTTCACGCCTTGTGGATTCTGAAAGATGTAACACACCGGCACTGGAGAGGGCAGGCAAGGCCCGTGAAACTGTTAAACTTTCAGATACAACAGATGCTTCTGGATTCGCCTCAGCACCAAACAGACTCTCTTTTCTCCATAGGCTATGGAGCAGCTGGTGGATGAGGGGCTAGTGAAAGCAATTGGTATCTCCAACTTCAACCATCTCCAGATTGAGAGGCTCTTAAACAAACCTGGCTTGAAACATAAGCCAGCAGTTAACCAGGTAAACCTCCCCTCTAAGGGATTGGTGTTGATGGCACAAACAGTTGTACTGTTTCATCTTCGCTCCTTCCTCCAATTCATCCAGGGATTGTCTTGGAGGCAGCTCCTGGGTGTACCAGTGTCCTGAGTTCTACTTTCCCCTGATGGGCATGTTTGGGAGCTTGTGTGTCTAGGAGAGAGGGTTTGAGCTAGCCCAGAATGCAGGAGCAGTATACAACCACCAAGATCCCAAGATCCTCAGTCCTGTGACAGTTGATGAGTGTCTCAGGCCAGAAAAAGCCTTTAGGGTCTCTGGCCAGGAAACACTGGTAATGAGATTATTGTTTTTAATGTCAAGGACACCAGCTGGGAAATGTAGAAAGTTGTTAAGGCTTATCTGGGAAACAGACAGCTCTGCGGAGGTGGAAGAGACCCAGCAGAGAAAGCTCTGCCTGTGTCGTCAACCTGTGCCCATAGTGTCCTTGACAGCCCTCCTCTTTGCATTTGCAGATCGAGTGCCACCCATACCTGACTCAGGAGAAGTTGGTCCAGTACTGCCAGTCCAAAGGCATTGTGGTGACTGCCTACAGTCCACTGGGCTCTCCTGACAGACCCTGGTGAGCTGAGCATTTTATGGTGTCTGGTTCTCTTTCACTAGGAGAAAATAAGAAACAAGAACTAGGGGATGGGAAGGTGGCTCAGCGGTAGAGCGCTTGCCTTGCATGCATGAGGCCCTGGGTTTGATTCCTCAGCACCATATAAGCAAAAAGAAAAAAGCCGGAAGTGGCGCTGTGGCTCAAGTGGTAGAGCGCTAGCCTTGAGCTGAAGAGCTGAGGGACAGCGCCCAGGCCCAGAGTTCAGGCCCCACGACTGGACTAAAAAAAAAAGAAACAAGAACTAAAAAGAAAACTTAAACTCACGGAAAATCCTTCAGGGCAGGTCTGCGGACATCCTCCAGGGCCTCTTGTATTTCCTGGGAGGTTGAAATTTTTAGCAGGAAAAAGAGAAGTCTTTTCCAAGAAGGATTGTCTGGTGGATCTTTTGAGATCTTGACCCAGCTTCAGACAGGGAGACTGGGCAGTTACCTGAGGTTCATGGGAGAGGAAGGGGCCATCACTGGTTGCCTTCTATAGTAGTAAGTTAGCTACTGACCTGAACCATCTTTGTACTCCAGGGCCAAGCCTGAGGACCCTTCCCTTCTGGAGGACCCCAACATCAAGGCCATCGCTGCCAAGTACAACAAAACTACAGCCCAGGTACAGCCATTTCCAGGCACTGGTGACTCCCTGCACTCTTGGTGCTCCCCACCAGCCAGGAGCAATAGCCATCAAATCCTTGCTGGAAGTGTGCCTTGGGCACAGAATGGGACTTAGAGTCTTGGCCGCCTGTATAGACCTCCTGGAGATCAACATAGTGCCGACTCGTTCATTTACATAGAAACCCATCTGCACAAATGCCAGCGCTTTCATTATCACCTGGGCAGTGAATGGCTCAGAGGGGCCTGGTGATGACCTGGGGACACTGACACACAGCAGGACTCTGGCATCTGATCTGGGCTGAATGTGGCCCCCTCCCCCTCAGTGGGTGACACGGGCATCTGGTCTCCTAGTGTGCCCATCTCTAGTGGGTCACGTGTGTGTGATTGAAGGGGATGATAATGTGGGCATGTGTACACACTCAGCACCTCTCTGCATCCACAGGTGCTGATCCGGTTCCCCATACAGAGGAATATGGTGGTGATCCCCAAGTCTGTGACCCCCGCACGCATCGCTGAGAACTTCAAGGTCAGATTTCATCCCATCAGCCTGCCTCTCCCCCATGGAGTAGGGGCAGGAGAGTCTCTCTGTAAGGCCCTCTTCCTGACATGTATAGTCTTACTTGCAGGATACCCCAGCCCTGGCCCTCCTGCACCCATCCTCCCTCAAGACCTGTGTGCCAAGCTCAAAAAGCTACAGTTAGCAAAGCACTGACCCCAGATTCCCTCTTGCTGGAGTCCCCATGCTGGAAACAAAGCCTCATGCCTCAGTGGCCCCATGAGTTACCCAAGCACACACCTCTGTGGAGGGTCTAAAGGACCCCAGGAGTTTGCCGTGATGAGCAAGATGCCTGGGTTGGCACTGGAGCTGCATTCGTCCTGCTCTATGACCGAGGGAAAGAAGTCATTGAGACCAAGTAAAGCAATAACCTGTTATACAGATTGCTGAAATTAAAGTAGAAAACGCACAGAACACTTGACCTAGTGCTGGCATAGTAAGCACTCAGGTAACGTTACCGAGCTGATGCTAAGTCCATGGGCTGCAGAGTCCCGGCCAGCCACTCGCTGACCACCTCGCTGTGCAGAGCCTGTGCAGTCATGGCAGAGTGTGGGCTGGTATCTGGGTTCCAGGATTGTGGGCGTTCCTAGGGCCTTAGGGCATAACTCAGATGAGCCAGTGTCTCCTCCCTCCCACCACCGCTTGTTCCAGCTGAGTGAATGGCTGCTCCGGGATGGCCCTGATGACCTAAGAGCCCCTCTCTCTGAGTAGAGCAGCTGTGCTAAATGCATTCTGTGTTCACGGAGGGCTGATTCGGAGTTTAGCACAGCCGTAAGGGTGGAGCTCTTCACCAGCCAGCCCTAGAGTCCCCCGAGCAATCTAGGCTCAGGGCAGCCCTGGCTCACAGCCTGCATTTTGCCTGGATTCCACTAGCTAGGCAATGCTGTGTGAGGGGAAGGGAGTTGATCATGAAGGAGAACACATAACGGTCTCATATCTGTAGTTGTTGAAACTATTTCAAGTTAGAGTATCAAAACAGTGGGAAAGGCATGTCCTACCACACACGTGTCTTCCATTTCATATTCCTTTTTCTTTGTTTTGGTGTTTTGTTCTTTTCAATCCTGGGATTTCAACTCAGGGTCTCCTGCATACTAAGCAAGCACTCTTATCACTCCAGCCATACCTCTGGCTCTTTTGTTTGTCTCTTATTTTTAAGATAGGGTCTCTCTATCTTTGCCCAAGCTGATCTTGAACTGAGATCCTGCTTCCTCTGCCTCCAAAGTAGCTGCGATTACAGATACAAGCCACGATTTCCTGGCTTCATCATTCACTGTCTTAAGTTATTAATCTAAAATACTAACAACCTTATTATTTCATTTTTTGTATTTTATTTTGCATTTATATTTATATTGTGACCCAGGTGACCCCGTTGGGTCCTGTGGGTCACCCCGAGTTTTGCTGCCAGCTGACTGGCCTGCCCACTCATGCGTGCTGCCTGCGTCCTGAGTTCTCTCCTCCCAGTTGACCTTCCCCGCTCTTGTCAAAACCTACGTATCTTCTTAGATCATCTCAAGTACTATCTCCTCTCTGGGCTTGTCCTTCAATGCCCCAGTTATGCAGTCCATTGTTGATGTCCCTGGGTTCCCCCAGGGCTTTGTGTCACAGTGCGTCACTGAATGGATTATTCTATGGATTCCTGCTGTTGAAGTACTTCCATTCCCTGCTCCATGATAAATGGAGACCAAGACACCTCTGAACCCACCATTTCAGTTCTTCCCTGGTGCTTATTAAACCTGAACTACGCAATTGTGTGAGCAGAAGTGAAAGTGATGAAAAGGATCTTTTTGCTGGAAGGGAAGAGACTGTTATAAAATGTGTTCTCTGAGAAGCGTCTCACACACACACACACACACACACACACACACACAGAGTAACCATCATCAAAGTTCATTTTACGCTCCACCCTACTCAGGACATCAGGAGCCCTGTCATCCGATCCTGTGCGGTACTCTCTGATCTTTATTGTAGAGCTTATTGTACTTTTGTTTGTTCAAGGTCTTTGACTTTGAGCTGAGCAAAGAGGACATGGCTACTTTAATGAGCTACAACAGGAACTGGAGGGTCTGTGCCTTGGTGAGGTGAGTGGGGCCCATGGGAGGACCAAGTCCCAGATCACCTCTGCGGCCTCAGCGGCCGGGACTCGTAGCCAGCCCTTCACACTTCCGCACGATCCCTTGCTTCTCTTGTCTATGAAGCAGGAAGGCACAACCTGTCTGTCCTGGCTGACCTGCCTGAAGCCGAGGGACCATTGCCCACTCACACACCAGAAGATCGGCTCCAGGAGCTCCTCTCTTGCTCAGGGGCCCAGATGTGGGCATCTAATCTTCATATCTCAGTGGCTGTTCTGAATGAGGGTCATCCCCATGGCTCTATGCCTTCCTGAAAGAATTTGCGTGCTGACCGTTTGTCCTAATAACCAATAGTGGGGAGACCCTGGGGGGCTCAGGACATCTTACCAGAAGGCTGCAAAGCCCCATGATCCTAAGAATGTCAGTCACAAATGGCCACACCTTCCTGAGTCCTTTACCTTCCCTCAGAGGTGGGCGGGTTTGGATCCTGCAGGAAATCACTAGCAGTGTGGCTGGTTGGTTTTATTTAGTTTTCCTGCCAGTTCAGTGACAAAGTGTAAAACTCACTCTCTGCTTTAAGAAGCAACTTGTCACTTAGCAATGCAGACAAGGCCTTTGCCCTGTCACCGCCCTCATCCCCCGCGTGCTCAGTCTCTGGTCTCCTCTTCCCCCCAGCAGTCAGTGGGGGGGAGGAGGTGCCCACTTCTTCCATTCTCCCTGCAGCTCAAACTTCACAGTGTGCTGGCCGCAGCCTCCGCCCATCTCATGGGGGGTGGGGCAGTAGAGTGAGTCCATGGCCAATGACATCTGTTCCGTTTTTAGAACCTGTTAGCTGTCTGTCAGGTCACTTGGCCTTCCCTGGCCCTTCCCACTGCTCCTGGGCTGCCTTGGAGCTCTGGGACTGACAATTTTGGATGGGTCCTTCACCTCTAGATGCCTTCCTTCCCGACCCCAGAGCTATTCTAGAGACAGCTGCCTGGTTGTCCTATGCACCCTGGGTGTTACTTGGCTCAGGAGGGAAGTGGCTGGTTCTAATACTCTGAAGTCTCCTGGAAAGCTTTGCAGAACTGCGCATGCTCACACAGGCTGCTCGCTGGTGACTGGGGCGTATTCCTCGGGTGGGCAAACAGAGGCAGGCCAGGGGCAGCTTATGAGTGGTTTTGAATGGCTCTCTTCACCCTGGGCCTGCGCACCCTGGCTGGCCAGTCTTTCCAGTCCTCTTTGTGCCAAATGGACTGTGCGCCTTGGCCACATGCCTGTGTTCTCGCCGTGCTTCCCGCAGCAGCCCTGGGGCACAGCGCTGGGCCTCCTCATTCCCACTGACGCCTGAGGCATCTCTGCTCTGTCCCAGGAGCACCTGCTATTCCACTTAACAATTCAGTTTCCTATAGCCTTTAATACCCCTGTTGTGTTATTATCTCTTAGCTCCTCTTTTTACCATCTGGCTTAGGATTGTAGATGATACTTTTTTGTTGCTGTTCTTAGAAGGAAGCAGGAGGGAGTCCTTCCATCCTGCATGCCCCAGACAGTGCTGGTCACCAGGGAGGGCTGTGTCCATCACACACCAGAGAGGGCTGCTTGATGCCAGACCGTGGCAGAAGAGACTGGAGGCTGAGCCACTGTCCCCAGCTGCAGACTCGCCGTCTGAAGACTGAGAACTGGCTGCCTGCCTCCCAGGCTTTGATGTCTGCCCATGATGAGACCATTGCCCATTTCTCTGTGTGGTAATTTGTAAAAGTCAAAAGCTCCTTGAAAACCCAGTGTGTTCTCTTTTCTTCCAACAGCTGTGCTGGTCACAAGGATTACCCCTTCCATGCCCAGTTCTGAAGCCCTAGATGCCGGCTCTTCCCAGGTGACTTCAGCCTATGCTTCCGGCCTCCTTCCTGTGTGTCCTTGCCAATGCAGTATGGCCTGCACCCCTTGGACATGAGCAGCAGCCTGCAGACTAGACACCGAGGAGTAGTTAGCTTGATGTAGGATCTGAAGAGCAATATCCCTATGCTAAGTGTCTCTTGCAGTCTTTGATTTTTTTCTTGCCCCGCTGGGGAAAGAACGTTTGTACTTTCTTCTGACCAAAGAGAAAGTGTACAGTCATCATAGTGCTACTAACACTTGGCTTCCACTGCGTGGACTGTAATCCTTTCAGCCACGCTTCTCTTTGCCTCAAATAAAAAGTGCTTTTGTGAGTTGGAGGCTGTTCATTTTGTCATTCTTTATTATTTTTTTAAACAGTCTTGGCTTCAGTCTCTAGGTCCCACAGAGCAAGACAGTGAAATGCAACAGGAATGAGGACTTGACTTCTTCCTTCTGGTTGGGAACCCTCACCCGGTGCTTTATCACCTAGCTCTAGGGCCAGGCAGTGTCCCTGGTGGTCTGAGGATGGAGATGGAGGGAATCCAGCTAGGCTCAGCCCAGGGTCTTAAAGAGTTACTCACTCTCCACATATTTCTCACTCATCATGCTGCACACCACAGCATTAAAGCTGGGCTGGGACATAATCCCGTATTTACTTCCACAGATCATCTGGTTGGTCCTCCTACCCATGAAGAACAATGGCAGGTGTTAATTGAGCAACAATAAAGACAAGAAAATGGATAAGAATACACAGTATTGACCTGACACAGGGATGATGATAAGCCTATCTGATCAAGTTATATTAACTTGCAGGTTATTGGTGTTGAGACACACACCTGAGCACACAAAGGTATAAGTGGGCAGTAGTGTTTACTAGGCCTTACCCCAGAAATAAAGGGATTGTGAAGCTGTGGGAGAGACTCAGAGCCCCACCTGCACACAGTGGCCCTTCCCTATCCGATGACCTTTCCCAGTATCTTCTCAGCACATTGGTTTAGCTCTTCTGTTGTAGGCAGGTTCTACCTTAACCCCAAGTTAAGCTGAAAACCTTAACTTACCCCTAAAGTCCCAGAGCAGACTCTGTAACAGGACAAATCAGTTGCCTAAATCACACCCATAGCTGCCTTTATCTCTAAAGACCTCAGTGTGACATCTTTCACGGTAGTAGTTAAAACACGGGCAGTTGATCCGATTCCAAGATGGCACCCTCAACCATAGGCAATGGGGCCCCAGTTCCTCACCTCAGGTGCCTTTCCTAAAGCTACTGAGTGTTCACAGCTTGATGAGGGACTCCATAACCTGCAACCTGACAACTCCCTACAATTTAGAAGAAATACATCGCAATGTGATAGTACAAAATAGTTTATCTTCAGACTACTTGCATAGAAAAACAGGATCACAAGTGACAAAAGTTCACATACAATTTAATGGTAGAAATGAACCTTGGATCAAGTTCTGTGAGATTCTTGTCTCATTATTCTAGTGATAGCCCATTACAATACAAATGATAACTTGTACATGTATAAAATGTCATTGCCAGGTAATCAAAGCTTACCTGCAAGATCATGCTGCTACATCATGCTGATAAATGTGAACTCCTGGTCTGACAAGATTAGATTAGCACCTGATCTCTATGATCTTCCTCAAAACTAAAATCCTAGTCCAATCATGAGAACAACATCAGACGAATATGAAGAGATATCTGTAAAATTATATGGCCAGTACTATTCAAAACAATCAAGATCAACAAAAAGTCTGAAAACGATCACTACTGAAAGTTGCCTACAAGAAACAGGCTGACTAAATGTAGATAAGACCTTGGCTGGGAAAAGAGTATCTGGTTGTTGCTAAGGGAATCTGCAATCAACTTGAGTTAATAATAAATAGTCTGTTAGTATTGTCTCACTAATTATGTCAAATGTATCAATAAATGCCATGGTGTTAAGTATATGGGAACTCTTCACAATTTTTCTATAAATTCTAATGATTAAATACTGAGAAAGACCAGTCTTTTCAAAGAAAAGATAATAAACCTAACTTAGATTATTCATCTGCTTTTATGTGTATAACATTCCTGGTGCAGACAAAAATGCAGAGTCTAACAAATCCTAACACAGGCTAAGAGGAAATATGTTCAGATTCATTCTATGCAGTTAACGCAACCTTGATACTAAAAGCAGACCAAGACACTTCAAGAAAAGAAAATTACAGCCTAAATCTCACTAAATAACACAGAGGCAAACATCCTAAACAAAATCTAATAACATTCGATAGTGTATTTTAAAAAATGACAGGGTTTTAGCTCAGGAATGCACTACTGATTTACTACTAAACATAGAGCAACCCACCACATAAATTATATACTCAAAAAAATGTTTAATAAACTGCAACATCATCTCATGATATAATCTCTTGGTAAACAAGGAAAAGAAGAAAATGTCTTTAACCTGGAAAAGGGCATCTACCTGTGTATCTGCATAAATCTGTTGTAGCACGATTTCATGTTATACGAACTATGGCCATCTGCCTCCTCATGAATGAATCTCAGGAACAGAATCTCAGGTTTAAGAAAAAAACTACTGAAAATGTACAAAGTAAACTTCTACTGATACAAAGTTCAAAAATGGCAAACAAAATGGCATGTTTTTAGGACTCAACCATAGGTCATGAACTTATCTGTAAAAGCCGGAAAATGATGTATTTAACACCCAAGGATGAGAGACAATCTTTCTATCAGTGTTCTAAGGATGTGTGTTTTATTTTTTGGTTGGTCGTGGGGCTTGAACTCTGGGCCTGGGTGCTGTGTCTGAGCTCTTCAGCTCAAGGCGAATGCTCTGCCACTTGAGCCACAGTGCCACTTCTGGTTTTCTAGTGGGTAATTGGAGATAAGAGTCCCACAGACTTTCCTGACCAGGTTGGCTTTGAACTGCAATCCTCAGATCTCAGCCTCCTGAGTAGCTAAGATTATGTGTGTGAGCCACCAGTACCCGGCATGTGTTTTATTTTACATCTTTAAACAGCGTGCAGGGATTTATTTTGTTTCACATGTGGATATGCATATACATATTTCTTATAAACCAAGTTTTGCATAAATGACCTCATTTGACTTTTCAACAATCCTGTTAAGAGTTATGTATCATGACTAAGATTTAGCTGATGAACTTAAATCACGATGAACCCACCGATATGACAAATATCTCACAGCTAGTCAACAGTTCCATATCCTGATTCTATAGTCTTCCAACTGGATTACATTGAAGTTAGTCATTACAATTATTTCTGTCTTCTGACCTCCTGACACAGAAAAGTGCACGTGGCCAGTTACATGCAAAAGAATGGGGGAGGGAGAGGAAGTTATTTTAATAAAACTGTCTTCCAAAAATAATCTCTCTCACACAGGCTGAAGGAATGACTCCAGTGGTAGAGTGCTTGCTCTCTAAGTCCCTAAGTTCCAACCCCAGCACCACACATGCACACACACACACACACACACACACACACACACACACACACACACACACACACACACACACCTTCCTCTTGTGGTTTTGCATAACACTAGTGATAGGCAGCTTCCAGAGTTTTCAGATGGAAGTCATTTTCCTATAGTAAGGAAGTGAGAGAAGTGGTTACAAAAGAAAAAGATTTTGAATTCGCAATGCCCCAAACTGGGACCCAAGGAAGGGAGGGTTACCCTTAGGGCATAGTACAGGAGACAATTTTAAGTTTTGATGAAACTAGAACACAGGTCCAAAGAAACCAGAAAATGTGGCCCTGACCCCTGGACAGGTCTGGAGAGGACCTGAGGGCCAGAACATAGGACAAACATGGAAATGGGACAGATGGACCCAGCAGAGGATGGCTGCACAGTCCACGTGGGCCCGAGCGCCACGGGGAAGTGCCGGGGCCTCCTCCCCGGCACCGTGGCTCAGCACATCGGGTCACCAGCACGCAGCCTATTTGTGCTGGACCATCTCAGAGGTCATGTGGTCCCAGCCTTCTTGGTACAGGAAGAGTTTGGTGACTATGTCAAAAAGCCGCCTGCTGGTCTTAGAAATACAGCCAGGACTAGAACTTACTCTTCAGATACCTGCCCACCGTTCCTTTCTATAAGTCACCTGCACTGCTGTGTGCCCGGCCTGCGGACGTTGTTTTGGACACTGCAGCCAACAAGCTGTGGGCCAATCTGGACTAAAGGCTGCATTCATGAGTGCCAAGAGGCATAAAAAGAGAGAATTCTACCCCCCCCCCCCCCCCAGCATATGAACGCTTCCACTGTCACACATTTCCCCTTAGAAACAATTTCATCCCCAGTGTTTCAGCTTGTCTGCTTCCTGGGTGATGTTCCGACCATTCTGATTGGTTGCACCTCATTGACTAGAGACGGGGATAAGAGTAGAAAGGGACAGAATACCAAAGTCTTGGTGTCCACAACTTCTTACCTTTCTAGCATATAAAAGGAGATTTCTCCCTAGGTATACATATCTATGTTATATATAACTGTATGTATATACGTATTTTGTATATATACATAAGCATGCAGATACAGATGCACCCTAATGGTCCTTAGCTGCTCCCTACCTGCCAGTAGCAGACTGACAATGCTTCAGTAATCTCTCTTTCCTTCCCTCCCTCCCTCTCCCCCCTCTCTTCTTCCCCCCCTTTCTCTCTCTCTCTCTCTCTCTTTCTCTCTCTCTCTCCCCCCTCTTAGTCCTCCCTTCCTTCTCCCTCCTCTCCTGAGAGCGTGTACAGGATGCTCTTCAGGGTGCTGTGAGCCAAGCGAAAGGGACTGAAGGAAACTTTCCTCTAGCTGTGACTCCATCCATGCTCTTAAGCTTATAGCATGGTGTATGTTTCCCCCTACTGGTCACTTACAGGTCATTCTTGAGGACTTGATGGACAGTCTCTACTTTCTCAGGGACCTCCTACTGGGACAATACTATTGTCAGAAAGCTTAGATCACAACACGCATACACCATCCCTAATCCTCAGAGTGAGTTTGTGAGGGATGTGTCATCACTCCTACCAAACAGAAGGAAAGCCATGGCACAGAGCAATTAAATGACTTGTGAA